TAAACAAGAAAAGGAAATTTGGAGATTACGAGATAGTTGCACTAAGTGAGGAGTGCAACGCTATACTTCAGAAAAATTTTCCTCAGAAACTTAAAGATCATTGTAGCTTTACAATTCCTTGTGTAATTGGAAAAAATTATGTGGAAAAGTTTTATGTGATTTAGGATCGAGCATTAATGTGATGCCTCTATCTATATTTAAAAGGTTAGGTTTATCTGATATTTCTCCCACTACTATAACTCTTCAGTTAACTGATAGATCTATCATTTATCTAAAAGGGATTATAGAAGATGTGCTTGTTAAAGTGGATAAATTTATCTTTTCTATGGACTTTATTGTATTAGATATGGAGGAAGATAAAGAATTTCCCATTATTTTGGGGAGACCTTCTCTTATTACTGGACAAGCTATGATAGATGTGCAAAAAAGAAAGTTAATTATGAATATTAATGACCATGAAACCACTTTTGATGTTTTTAAGGCTCTGAAATATCCAGCTGAGAGAAAAGATGATGATTATTTTTTGATGAATGAAATTGATTATCTAAGTAAAAACTATTTCCAGAAAAGAAATGAGATTTTATGATGAGTCTAAAATGTTGTTTAAAGAAGACTGTATGTATGTTCACGAGAGGTGTGAAATGATGAACGTTACCAAAAATAGTAAACTTTTAATTCCATCTGTTGAAAAATCTCATGAAATTAAGATGAATGTACCATATATTATTTTAAAGTCTACCAATTTAGGGAATTCATCTACGCCATCAGTCTTTATATCTTTAGATTTGACTCAATCACAAGAAAAACCTGAATTGAATGATGAACAAGATAAAATTATTAAACTAAGACTTGGAAGAGAATTTGAGGATATATTTCAAAAAAACTTTGAGTTGAGAAAAGAGGATACGAATATTGAAAGACCAATGAAAGAAATTCTTATGGAATCACAAAAACTTATTTCCTCAACTAAGATAGATATAGAAAGTTCACCCCCACCATTTACTCGACATTGAGGGGAAGAATTGGAAGATAACTTAAAACAGAAGAGTAACATAGAAGAATTTGATCCAGAATCTGAATTATCTAGAGAGAATCTGATAAAAAATTTGGGAGATCTTGAATTATCATTTAAAAGATCCATTTCTTATAAATTTCAAGGATGATATTAATATGAAAATTGAGAAAATCAATAGAAGAAAATTGGATCTAGAAAGAAATATGAGCAATAATGATAAGAATCAATATGAAAAGGCAAGAAGAGCTGAATGGAAAATTAAAAGTTGAGGATTTTATAGTAATCCCTAGATCTGGAAAAGATTGGACGATTGATCAAGGATTACTTAATTGGAATTTTGATCCAAGTGGAACCACATTCAAATTCTATGTATGGTGATATTCATGGGAGTTGAATGCAAATAAATAAGGAAATATACTTTGATGGGCGTATAATTGGAGATTTTAGGGTGACAGACTAAAATATCCAATTTGTTCATAGGGTTTGGAAACTAAAGCGGAGATGTTAACCCTCAGGCGAGGGGAACGTAGGAGCTCCGAAGTGAGAGCCGATATCTTCCCGCCTAGCCACAAATTTAGTAAACAAGCATAGGATTAGTCAATGTTCTCTATGCTTGGACCAAATGATAAAAAATATAATTGCTCATATTTGACACATATAATATTTAATGCATCTCATTCCTTTACATTATCCAATTCATTACATAAACATAGTAGTTTTTAATATCTCAAAATTCTCCAAACCAAATCATCCAAAAAGGTTTATCTTTAGAATTAATATTTGCATTTAAGAGTAGTTATTAGTTGTGTTAAACTTAAGACTTACATTTAAGAGTATCTGTTAGTAAAACCTCTTAAATCACACTTCCAAACTAAGGACTAATAGTATATTAGAATTTGACTAAGGACCTCTTACCTCGCTTCCCTGCGGGATCGATAAACGGAACTCCACTTGAGTCCTGTATTACTTCAGCGATACGTATACTTACATTTGATATATAAATCCGGTTCATAAGTTCTTGCATATTAAAAAAGTCGCATCAAGTTTTTTGCGCCGTTGCCGATGATTTAAATCTTCTAGTGGTGGTGTCAAATTCTTGTATTTTTAGGTATATAAAAAAGTCGCATCAATTTTATGGCGCCGTTGTCGGGGATTTAAATATTCTAGCAGCGGTATCAAATTCTTGTATTTTTTAAGCATATATAAAGTTGTTGTCGCTTGGTTAAGAGGATTTTTTTCTCTGTTGAGAGCCAGAGGTCTGGGAGGCTAAGTAGTGAGCTTGGCGTGCTCTTAAGGCTCTTAGCTTTCTTCCTCTCATAGCCACAAAAGTTTGATGTGGAGCTAGGAATGATATTGAGACACTTAGGCGACTCCTCGAGCATGTAGGAAGAAAATCCAGAGGCTTTTGCAATTTTCCATACCCTGGTTAAGGTGGTGTCAATGACGGAGAAGTTGACATGAGGAGAGCTCATGATGATTGGGGAGCCTTTTGGTGGGTGGCTAAAACCAGTTTCTGTATGGTCTTGGCTCCTCAAGCCTTTGTTTGGCTCACTAAAAGTTAGGTTAAAGGGTCCATGACTAAGGTTTGATGTGGAGACCCCCATGGTGAAATGTGTGGTTTTGTCTTCTAGTGGTAGTATTTGACTTGGGCTGTCTGGTAATGTCACCCACATGTCATAGTGAGTTGGTCTTGGGTCATGAGTTACCCATTAAGAATGAGCTTAAGGCTTAAAGGGCCATGAGCTTCGTGTTGGATTTTAGGGTTTTGGGCTTAGGATAATGGGTTGGATTTAGCCCAAAATTTAGGCCCAAATGGAATGTCATAACCCACTAAAATAATTAATTGAATTAAGGGGGCTGACCATATGGTGCCAATTGGGTCCCTTACAAGGTGTGGCGATGTGACCATATTGGGTGAGGCTCAATTGGACGGGGAAGTGGTCAGTTGGCCAAGAATTGACCAAAATTGAGGTCGGCCCAATTGGTTTTGATCATCTTAAGATGCCCCCAAATTTTGGGGTCAAAAGGCATATTAGGGTTTAAGGTGATTTTTTATGGTTTGGTAGGGTTAGGGATGCCTTTGGTGAGGATTGGGATCAATTTAAATAGACCCTCATCCCAAGGCGAATTTCATGGTCAAGCTAGTTCCTAGGGTCCATAAACAAGACCCTAGGGTCTTGGGTTGATTTGGGTGACTTGGGCATGTCTTGCCCATGTTGATCAATTTGGGTTTCTCACCTGGTGAACTCTAAGCCACCCAAACCAGGGTTGGGGGCTTTGGCTTGCCCTGATGAGGCCCAATAAAGCATAACCATGGTCTAAGGTCATATGCAAGTAGGTGGGGTGAGTCATCACAAAAGTGAGGTCAACAGATGTATATCAGTCTTACTGGAATAGGCTCACATTGGTTGTCGTTCCCTACCTTCATGTATTTGCCTCGGAGGCCACAAATTCTTTCAGCTTTCATGCTCGAATTGGCTCCCTGATAAGGTTGCGGAGGTGTCTGCACTCTGTCGTAGTGTGGTTGTGATGCCAATGATATGCACGATATTTATTAGGATCACTCTGATGGATTCCACGCATTGGTAGAAGCTTATTATAGTAATCTTTATTCCAAATGACCTCAACTATTTCAGTCATTACCACTCTCAACAACGTAATTTTTTTAGAGGAAATTGGGGCAATTCTCGCCTCCTCTTGAGTCTTCTCCTACATAGTCCTCCATTGGAAGGTCCTTCCCCATGCTATCAAAAATATCTTTAAGAGGCATTTTGGAAGTTTTTTTTTATCAAAACAACTTCTCAAATTCCCCTGATCTTGTGGGAATGCTTTTCATATTTTTCTCCAAACTCATAAGCCATTGAGGTGCTCGGCAAGAAATTATATTTCTCAATAAAAATATGATTGAAAGTGAGTTCCAGGTGTTGGATTTGGGTATTGGGCTTCTGTAAACAAAGTGCATATCTGAATGATCCTTCAAACAAACCGTGAGCAAATATTGCGTGGGTAATGGCGGCCTTCAGATCATAAACATCTAAAGATGATCCTTCACACAGACCTTGACGAATATTAAACTTCCTCAGAGCTTTAGCTCGTATAAACTTCTTTGAGAATGTGTTCTCTAGCAGTTTCTATCTTATTCTCCTTCTGGCTTCTTCGTCCGAGGATTTAGGAGATTCCTTGTCTGAGACAGAAGACTCATCGCTTTCTTCTTCTTGGAGCTGCGATCCAAGAACCCTTATAGGTCCTACTCTTGGAGGATCTCATCTTAGTGGTGCCTGCGTAGGAATTTCTTGTCTATGTGTTGTCGATGTCAAATATCTTGTATGTGTTATGCTTCTGGATCAAGTTTTGGAAACTTCTTCTCGCACTTCTCGAATCATCGTCGTCATTTAATTCCTTGGGTTGTTCATTTATTACTCCATGAACTCTGTGGTGCAGTTCATGGTGTCCTGCATACTTTCTCCTGATAGAGATTTCCTTGCTAAGTTTGTGTATCAACTACACGCTCATAATACATTTCAAGATGTTGAATCTTTTCAAGACATTGTATTTTGTATTATTCATGAGTTCATACAAAATCAAATTCGAACCATGTTCGAGCCCAGTTTAGACTGAATTAGAGTAAATTTAGATTTTGAATTCGAACCAAATTTGAACCAAGATTTGACTTAACTATGAATTTAAGCATATTCTAATTACAATATTTACATTAAAAAATATTCAACTAATGTAAGATGTTTCAACTTTAAAAATAATTCATTCATATAAAATAGCATTTGCATGATACAATCATACAAATGACCTAGAAAGATAGGAGTGTTTACATCGTATTAGATAGACAACCTTAGAATCTTAAAAAGAAATATAACTTATATTGCACGACATGATTGTGCAGTCTCATAAGTCCTATGAGATACAATAAAGATTTACTCTAGTTATATGAACAATTTTGTTCATAATATAAAACTTAATATATGCATATATAGGCACGGAGAAGCAACATTATGCTCTACAGTCGGGGGAGAAGTAATGGCGATAACGGTTTTCAAAGCTGAAGTTCCAGCTCTATGCCTTCTTGTACTTCTCCTCGTTGACGCGGCCGTTTCTGCAACCACCTCCGGGGATTTGGCGGTGCAGCGAGAATTTGATTACTTCGCCCTGGCTCTCCAATGGCCTGGCAGCTATTGTCAGAGGACACGCCATTGCTGCTCTTCCAATGCTTGCTGCCAGTATTCTCTTAACTTCTTGATTCCTGTTAATGCAATGGATTGTTATGGATTTGCTGGTACCATTCTTGTGCTATGAGCGAATCGAAGTTGGAGATATGCAAAACCTTTATAGACCATAAAGTGCCGTGCAGATCCTTTAGAAGTCATAATTCAGAGATTATGTTTCTAGCCAGTGAGTGGGTAACGTTGGAGCCAAATTTTTTTATGGCGAGTCCCTCTTTGTGGAATGTACGAGTCCTTGATGAGAACAAGGATGAAAGAAATGAGAAAAAAGATGAAAAAATAATAGTATTTTATTCAATCCAAAACCTTATAGTATTGTAGGTATCTTGTGCTAAGCTATACAAAAGGAATAAATAAATAAATACATGACTGAATTGTTACAGACACGTAGACACATCTATCAAGGTCCTTGAGAGTACATGTGAAATGTTGTCTTGGAGAATTCTTTAGAGGCTTATGTGGGCTAATAGATGAGGTATTCAACTGAATAGGCGAGGTCTTCTAGCCTAATAGGTGAGTCCCTTTTGGATTGGGTGAGTAGCTTCTAGGCTGAGGTAAGTGACTTTTAAACTAGGGCAACTAACTTCTGGGCTTGGAAGTGCCTTTGAGCTGGGTGTATGTGGATGTGCACTGCACTAATTTCTTATATAATTGGGAATCACGCTTATATGGAAGAGAAGAAGACTAATGGCCATTGGATTTTTAATGTGATTTTGCTAGCAACAAGTTGTACATGTAAAGAAAAGTTTCCGGATTGGATTTCTAATGTGAAATTTTTGAGAAGCATGGGACGAATCATTGCCGTGGTCATTTTGCTAGCTTGAACAAGGTGCGTCTGATGACAGCTATCTGTTTCCTTGGATTGAGGTCTTGGTTGATTCAATAGTCAGGAATATGGATTAACTTCCTTGATGCTTTCTCAGACTTCCTAATACTAAAATACATCCAACAAGTAAAGTGAAAATGAGCTTGGAAGTGTCTTTGAGCTGGGTTTTGTGCTTCTGGTGAAGTTCCTTCATGGACAAGGCAGATAGTTCTTTGATCTTGCTAGTTCCTTGTTTTCATTTTAAAATGCACATTGCAGTTGTACAAGGAAATTGTCTTTTTGCTGTAGATGGGACGACTAAAGTTAATGTCAAAAGCTAGAGTTGCACCTGCTTCCTTAGGATGGATGTGAAGTAGGTAATTTCAAACTGAAATGCTAATGATTATAAAAAAAAAGGATATTTTTGTATTTAAACGTTGTGAAATGCCAAGGATGGATGTGGATGTGCACCGCATTGATTGCTTCTATAATTGGGAATCATGCTTATATGCTAGACAAGAAGACTAATGGCCATTGGATTTTTATTCTGTCTTTTCTTGCAACAAGTTGTGCATGTAAAGAAAAGTATCCGGATTGGTTTTTTAATGTGAAATTGTTGAGAAGCATGGGGTGAATCATTGTTGTATTGATTTGGCTAGCTTGAACAAGGCGCGTCTGTAGACGGCTTTTTGTTTCCTTAGGTTGAGGCCTTGGTTGATTCAATAGTTAGGAATATGGATTAACTTCCTCGATGCTTTCTTAGACTTCCTGATACTAAAATACACCCAACAAATAAAGTGAAAATGAACTTTATCAATTATCATGCAATATCTTTTGGATTGAAGAATGCCAAACTTATATATTGAAGGATGGAAAATGCTTGTTGGGTTTCAAAAGGAACTAATATGAGGATATTTGCTCATGAATTTCTTGTGAAAAAGAAGCATACTTGTTTGATATGACACTTTTATAACTATAAGGCAACACAAGTTCAAGCTTAATATCATCAGTGGTCTATTTGGTGTGTCTTTAGGTATATTTAAAAGTAGCTGTAGAATTATTATGGGAAATCATATTGTTTGAAAGTTGTTGTGGTTGATATAGGCTTTATGCCTTTAAAAAAATCAGGATAAAAGTTTTCTTGTAGCTATCATACTCTAACATGTCTGATTTTAAAAAAAATTATTCTCATCGTTAAAATTTTAGAAAACAACAATAAAATTATAACTAAATCGAATTATGACAATTGACTGAAAAATAAAACTCGGAAATGGCGACCTAAATGGATCCTAAGAGTGTGTTTTGTGCCACTTCAATTTTGTTTCTTGGTTATATCATGGGGGACAAAAACCAATCCTTAAAAAGCCATAACAATCTAAGAGACTTATCTCTATAGAAAACAAACACTGTATAGAAATTGTTATGTTACCTTACAAGTTAAATAAGTTTAGGCGTGCGCTTGTACGCATATATATATATATATAATATATATATAGACACACACACACATCTACATATCTATATATATCTATACATATGCGTGCATCTACATAAATATACATACATGTACATATATGTATATTTGTACTTCTACCTATGTATATCTCTACTTCTACATGCATATAAATACATCTACCTATGTATATCTATACATCTATGGACACACCCACACCCAACCACTATATATATATATATATATATATATATATATATATATACTCTGCTCTCATAATTTTTGTTTTTTTCTCGATCGAGAGAGATATCACCTTACCTCCACCGGAGGACATTTGGATAGGCTCTACTCATACGGGCTACTGGCAATCGGTTTTGCTTGAAAAACATCCTTATTACTATAGGCACTGTAGCATGTTTGGTCATGGCTCTGAGCATTGTTTCCATTTACATCCTGAATTAAGGAAATTTTCTACCCATAGACCGTCCCCTGGAGAACACAAATCTGCTCTCCCTACACTCTTACAACCACCTATACAAACTGCTGATTCGGCTGACCGCCCTGCTGAGGCTGTAGCGGTGGCCTGATATGGGGGATGCTGAGGTGACTCTAGAGCCTTTACCCGTAGATGTTACAGTTAATGATTTGGTTGAACCCCCTGTTTTCACTGTCCTTCAAACCGAGCCATCCAATCACCTCCCTGATGCTCCTGATCCCTCCACTCACACTATCTCTTCACAGCAGGATCCTACAACATTTGCTGTCTCTGTTCTTGAATCCGAATGATAAATTCAGAGATACAGCAGAAAACGTGGAAGAAGGAAATCTGAAATACCGAAATTACCACAATCAAATACTACTGATGTCACTTATCACTCAGAAGGTGAGCACTGCCACCTACCCTCTAGGATTATTAGAGGGGAGGGTGTCATGGACCATGTTTAATGTTTTGGTGTGGAACATTAGAGGAGTGACAGACCCTCACTCCTTTAATTGTTTAAAACATTTATGTAGGATCCATAAACCGGGCATCCTTGCTATTTTGGAACCTTTTATTTCAATTCATAAAGATAACATCCTTAAGAGGTTCAAGGGGTATTCGCACTTCTGCAATGTGAATAGCAAAATTTGGCTCTTTTGGAAGAAGGATATCACTGGTAATATTATCGATGATAATGTGCAATATGTTCTCATTCAATATCAACTTCAACTGTTTTCAGGTTGGGCTACGTTTATCTATGCTAGCTCTCACTTAAGGGATAAATTTCTTCTTTAGCAACAACTTACTCATATGGGGGCTGAAATAAATGATAATTGGTTCGTTTGAGGCGATCTAAATATGATTATGTCGCTTACAGAGAGACGGGGTGGTGCTAAGGTTGACACAAATCTTATTAATCGTTTCTGTGATCATATTGACGAAGCCGACCTTTATGACTTAGGTTTCTCCGGTCCTCCTTACACTTGGCGGAGGGGTTTCATGTTACAACATTCAGACAGATTCTTGGGAAATTCTCAGTTTTTAAGCTACTATAATATTTTTCAAGTCAAGCATTTGAATCATGCTGCTTCGGATCATAATCCAATCTTGCTAACTTTAGATTTTCATTCCAAGCCTTCTCGTTATCATTTTAATTTCTTAATGTTTGGGCTACTCACATTAATTTCATTGACTTGATTAAACAGGTTTGGGTCTCTAATGGAAGTGGGAATCCATGGCTTACGTTGTGGCAACTGCATATGAATGTGGCTTTTCATTTAAAAAGATGGAACATTGACACTTTTGGTAATGTTCACTCTTGGGTGCTAAAGGCACAACATGAGGTAGATGATTTAGAGGCTCAGGTGATTGCTACTCCTACTCCTGATCTTGGGTCTAAACTCGCGGATGCCCACCACACTCTTTTAGAGGAAATCTCTATTGAGGAAGATTACCTCAGACAGAAAGCTTGTGATATTCATTTTAAGAATGGTGACAGAAATACTAAATACTTTCATGCCACTATCAAACATCGCCGGAACATAAACACTATCATCAAAATTGTTACTGAAGAGGGCTGCACTCTTACTAATGTTGATCAGATTGGATCTAATGCAGCTGATTATTTCTCCTCTTTATGCTGATACTCCCCCTATCACTGATATTATTTCTGACTATTTTGAGGAACAAAGAGATATGATCTCCAATCTCTCTTTATCGGACCCCCCTACTGAGTTGGAAATTTTCAATGCCATTAAAGATATTAGCTTGCAGAAAGCTCCTGACCCTGATGGTTTCCCCTCCACTTTCTATATTTCTTGTTGGGAAATTGTAAAGAAGGATGTGGTGCTGGCTATTCAAAGATTTTTTCAGGGAGTTGACCCTACAAAATATTTCTCTGCTGCCTTGATTGTCCTCATTCCTAAGTCTACCGCCAATTAACACTGGAAGGATTTTAGGCTCATATCATTAACCTCAGTCATATCTAAAATCATTAGTAAAATGATTGTGGCTCGCCTCCAACCTCATCTTCCTTCACTTATTTCTCCTCAACAATCGACCTTTATTAAAGGTCGTGATATTTCTGATAATATTCTCTTAGCACAGGAAATATTACAGGATCTTGATAAAAGTTGTAGGGGTGGCAATCTGGTGATCAAACTTGATATCAAAAAAGCCTTTGATACCTTAAATTGGGACTTCATCGTCAATGTTGTTAAAGCTAGAGGTTTTAATACCAGTTTTTGCTCCTTGATTAAAAGATGACTCGCCAATAATTACTATTCTGTCTTGGTCAATGGAAACTCTTATGATTTCTTCACTGCTTGACGGGGCATCAAACAGGGAGATCCTCTTTCTCCTATTATTTTTATTTTAGCTTTTGATTATTTCTCTAGGATGCTCAACAGTTTCCAACTCTTACATCCACATGTTCAGTATTCCAACAAAGCTAAAATGATGGTCTCTCACCTTGCTTATGCAGATGATGTTATTATTTTTACTAACGCTTCTAAGCTTGCCATAAATCAGGTGATGGGGCTCTTACAGGATTTCCAAAGCTGCTCCGGTCTTCGTTTCAATAGTGACAAATGTCATTTGTTTTTTGGCAAACAGGTTAAGCAACATATTATTCAATGAGGTGTTATGTTTACAGGTTTTCAGAATGTCTCTCATCCCCTTAAATATCTTGGGGTGATTTTGATAAGGGGGAGAAGGAAACAGATGCATATGGATGATGTGATTGATAAAATCAAACGTAAAGTGAATGATTGGAGAAATGTCTTTCTTTCCACTGGGGGCAGAATCTCTTTACTTTCTAGTGTTCTCCAGAGCATTCCTTTATATGCTTTGCAAGTGTTCAATCCCAAGAAAAGTGCAATTAGTACGCAATTAGTACTATGGAAAAACTCTTTAATAACTTCCTTTGGGTGGGGAACGATGCAAAGAAAATCTGGTGTAATTGGTATAAAACTTATAAGCCTAAAGAGGCTGGTGGTCTCGGCTTTAAAGCACTAAAGCATACTGTGGAAGTGAACCTCTGTAAGCTGAACCTCAAATTTAGATTGGGTTCCTCTCTTTGGGCCATGTTTATGAGGCTAAAATATTGTGCTAATATTCATCCTTCCTTGGTCTCTTGGAAGGTTGGAGATTCTCGTATTTGGGAAACTGTGGTGAATGCTAGAGACACGACAAATGGTTTCATTTTTTGGGATATTGGAGAGGGAAACATTTCCTTCTGGAATGAAAATTGGGGTGCTTCTCACATTTCTGGCTTATCTCACTCCCCTCTTTCTAACTCTCTATTGGTCTCTGATTTTTTTGATAATGAGGTTTCGTACTTTTCTAAATTATGCTCTATGGTTGGGGAACAAAATGCAAAGCATATATTCATAATCCCCATCACTCATTCTCATAGAGATCTCCCCATGTGGAAAAGAAGTAGCTCTATATCAATTTGCAAGCTCATTTATGACACTCTACACTCACATCGTGACTGGATATGGGTGAAATGGATTTGACATAAATATTTATCTCCCTCTATAACCTTTTTTCTATGGCGTTATCTTATGTCGTTAATCCCATTGGATGACATTCTTAAGCTTAAGGGCTTGAAATTAGCCTCTAGATGCCCTATGTGTAGAATGAAAGAGGAGGATATAACACACAGGAGGATATAACACACTTTCTTTGAGTGTGTTTTCTCGTTGGAGCTCTGGGATAAAATAGGCGTTCATTTTGGTTTCTCTTGGACCCATAGAGGATCTTTAGCTAGTTATTTATGGCAGTGGAAGGATTTTGATGCTTTTATGGGGAGGTTTCCCCTCCCATTATTGGTTCTGTGGTTCCTTTGGAACTCCATAAATAGTTTTAAATACCACCCTCTCCCCCCTCTATTACTATGGTTGCTGCATATGTCATTGTCTATTACAATAAAGCTTTAAGAGCCAGCTCCTCCGTGGTTAAAACCACTAAGGCCCCTCGGCTTATTGTGTGGGCCCCCCGCATGCTAATTATGTGAAATCAAATGTTGATGGCTGTTGCGTGCTAATTGGGGGTCTTTTTAGAAATTTTGAAGGGAAATGCCTTCTCTTTTTCGCTTCCTCTGTTATTGCCGAAACTTCTTTGGCTGTTGAATGTTGGGGAGTCTTTTTAGCTCTAGTGGTGGCCAACATCTTTAATTTTCGTAAGCTGGAGGTGGATTCAAAAATACTTTATGATATTTTGGTTGGTACTACCTCTCATCTTTGGGATTTAATTAGTATTTTTAAAAGAATAATGATCCTTATAGCTGATAAACATCTTGAGGTTAGATGAAAGTTTATTCATAGAGAGGGCAACTCTCCTGCGGATTGGCTTGCTAAAAATGCAGGGGAGACTTGTCACGTTGGCACACATCCCACTGCCCATCTT